CGCGCGCGCGCGTCCATTGGCAGGCTGGCTCAGTGCCATGCCACTGACAATTCTTGAGCATGCTACTTAGGAGTGTAGATTACTGTCTGGAAAGCTGCTTTTTCAGGAGCCTCGTGCTTATCAAGCTTTGAATAATCTACCAGTGAGAGTTTCAAGGCATGATTAAAAGCAGGGGAAGGAAGAGAAAAGGAGAGACAGAAAAAAAGGTATATGAAAACCCAGGGAGTTTTAACAATGATTTCAATAGATCTCTGCTTCTCCATTTAATTTTTCCTTTTCCAGCTGATATGCTGACTCCTACCAGTATACCCACAATGCAGAGCTTGTATCTTCTACAAAGAAAGGAAAGAAGGACAGGGGAGGAGAGGAAATCAAATGCAATTTGGGGGAAATGTTCACAGAACAGAGCTAACTCATGTTGCAGAATTGTTCTAGACCAATGTTTCCTAGCAATAAGGCAGTTTTGATCACAGTATTTTAGAGCTGGCATCAATGGTACTGCAGCAGGGATAACTGAAATGCCAGCCTAGGGCTGTTTAGAGCTTTTCCCACACTTCTCCATTTCTACTGTTCAGCAAAATCTATTCAAACTAGCAAGTGGCTTTGATCAGCTGACACTAAATGCTGTTGTACACAGCAACAAGGTAGTTGTAGGCAGTGTTCTAACATAGGAGAAATATTTAGGGTGAATTTCATGTTCTTACATTCCACTGTTTGGGCTACAAAGCAGATGTGATTTGCTTTAGGGCACAGAAAATAAGAAAATGTGGAACAAAGCTGGAGGGTGCTGCTTTCCAGAGCTTCACCCTTGGTATCTTTTGGATTGTTTCAAAACAGCGCCAGGCAGATGGCAGTAAAATTTATGAATCATCAGTCACACTTATTAGGGATCATTCTCACTAATTGAATCTGGTGGCTGTGAAAGTTGCCAGCAAACATTAATTTTAAGCTGCCAAGCCTCCAAGCGGAGCATGACTCCTGCCCACACTCAGTGCAGAGACTAGTTTTCCAACATTAAGTGGTAACACAGAACAGCACAGCTCCTACAAGTTACAAGAAGTCCAAGAGAGAGAGGTATTACTGGCTTAGAAAGACCCTCATAAACACAGAATAAGGAGAAGAATAAAGGCAGGATGTATGTTGCTCAGTGTTCCTTTTAAGATTAAGACTCTATCGTTGAGAGTTCATTCAATATATGTTCGAGGGCTGCAAAGTACCGTACAATCACACTAATAAAAAAAAAGTCCACGTAATTAAGAAGCCTCACTGAAACGAGCATCAAACCCAAGACAAAACTAGTGTAAGTCAGCAACTACAAGCGCACACTACAGAGCCATTTTTTTTTGTCTTGCCTTTGTGCTACAGGGGACTTTCCTCAGCAGGTATTTAGCACCATTCTGTTACCTCTGAATTCTGGAGAAGCCAGCAACGGTTGCTTTGTGAACACCTCCACATGTTGTGTTGGGAAGGGCTTGTAAGAGCTGCCAAGTTTTACCTTCACACTGACCTCCTCAGTTTGTCTGTCCATCTCCACTTACAAGAGTTTATGACCCTTGTGGCAGTTTTGTTTTTGCCTCGAACAAACTGCTACTTAGAGCAATAGTGAATCAGATCACAGCGTTGACCTCTGCAACACTGGACTGATCCCATCTGCAACAGAGATATGGGTGCTGGCTCCAAGCCCCTACCACTAATTATTTTATAATCTAGGATCTCCCAGACATGCCAGTCATATGGAATTTACAATCCAAGTCAATTCATATTTCACATCTGTGTAAAGAGATGCCCAGAGTTTCTGAAAAGCCTCTTGTAGAAGCTCCTGTTACAGTGTTATGAATAGGAGATGCTAGTACCAGGATGAAAATGGAAACGTTTCATAAATGACTTTTCAGTGAGATATGCCGTGATACAAAGCAGTCCTCTTATGCATCAAATGATGATACATGCATACCTTTTCTGTGACTTAAGCAGTGGAATTATATCCACACTTGAGCCCCTAATAATAAATTGTGTACACACAGAAACAAACATTCCCCAAACTTGACTGGAAAGCTTCCTCCTTGCATCTGTGACCACTGGATAAGGAGAAATTTTAATGTTCCAAGGATAGTGCAGTTCAGCTATTTCGTAAACAAAAATGACTTCTGTCTCCAGAGAGACCACCCAGAAGAACATGCCCCCCACATTTTGTCAGATAAGCTGGTCCAAGAGCATTATACGACTGTGCTGGCACAAAAAAACCCAACCAAAAGCCCAGTATTAAGCAGTAATAGTTATTCATGAACTGGAGAACGAGGTTAGGCAAAAACTAACGAACATACAAATGAAAAAGGCATGAACCTCACTGGCTGAAAAGCAGGGTAGTTCCAGATATAATGCAGGTTTAGTTTCATGGCTCACTTTGCAGATAAGTAGCTAAACAACCAGTGAAAATATTATGTGTGATTGATTGTCTTACACAGACCTACCCAGAAACCAAAAAGGTAGAAAACATGGGTGCATTTAAGTATCCCCAATTATAACAGGAACTGATAGCCAAACAACCTATATAATCTTCAATCAGGATCTCTCCAGCTCCATGCATCTGGGGAGCCAGTACAGTACGTATCACAGTTCAGCACTTTTCTCTGGCTTCCTCCTATGTTTGGGATGTTGAGGATGAGAGGTAATTGTGTCAATAAACAATTTAATCATAATACCAAGCAAGTGGAAGGCTTCCCCTTGCCATGTAGCAATGTGCTGCTGGGAGATAAAGCAAGATCCTTTTATTTTTTGCTTTATCAGAAGCAAGGCAGGGCTGAGGACTGCTGTGTTCTCTCCGGGATCCATACGCATGAAATTCTCCATTTGGCTGCCATGCATTCAAGCACTACAGACAAGGCTGGCTCAAATTAACAAATTACCAAACAAGGATTCTGATACCAGTTTCCCTCCCCATGACAAGCTGAAGACAAAAAAAAAGATGGTCTCCACATTAAAATACTAAAACCTCTACATTAAAATGAGAAATGTTCTCAAGTCACTGCCAAGTAGTGGCTGGAATGTTTATACCTGGAATTATTCTTTGGCTCTTCTCAGGTTATATCCAGAGATCGATTAACACCCCTAAAGTCTGGAATCCTATGAGAACACAGTGGTGCCTCAGACATTATGTAGACTTGGATGAAAAAGGGGGCCTTGTTTTCATAGTCTATTGAGGATATATTTCTGAATATAGGAGTCCTTCAGCTGAAATAGCATCTCCAAGTCCCACGGTCCGGATGGGATCTTTGCACACCAAAACAGGGGTGAAATGAAATGAGATGCCCTCCCTCTGCCAGTGTGCCACTGGCTCCCCTGGATTGAGAGAGATTTTGGTGTTTATCTGCGTCTGGGAGGTCACAAACTCCAGGGGAGCTTTAAGAGAGACTTTGTCAGTGTCAATGGTCTCAGTGGCACAAGCCTGTGTCCCCGCCACTCTGGCTCCAGCAGCCACAGCCGCAATCTGGTTACCCCAATACCCATCCACAGTAGCAAGGACATGGTAGGCCAGTGTGTGGAAATGGATGCGGGTAAGATCAGACGGTTTATCTGTGGTCCTTCCATGCTCTTTCAGGATCCAGAACAGGATGTCACTGACTATGCCCACATCTGGAACTCCATTCCAGGAGGTCAGGGAGGCGTGAGGACCAGCAGCTGACTGAGTCAGGAACAACAGTTCTTGTTCATTTAGCCCAATAGAGTTCACCAGGGGAAAGACCTGCTAACAAAAACAGTGAACAACAGTTTTTCTTTATGGAGACAGAATCAGATTTCCATCCCTCCTTATTTCAGAGGTACTATTAAGAGCAATACCTCACAGTGTACTCATGGGGTCCCCTAATAGGTCTTTACAGCCAGAAACTGAACATATTTGGTTCTTTGGAGAGGCTGAACAACACACCTGAGCACATACCCTGTTCTATAGGTGTACACAAAGGCAGAAGCCGCAGCCAGGCATTCTCCTGCCCAACTGGGGACAGAGTGAAAGGGAAGGTCTCAATGACAGTAGATTGAGCCCCATCCCAACTTGTCAAAGCCCAACACTGTCTGACAAAAAACGAACAGCAAGGGACACACAAAGAAGTTATTCCTGCAGGAAACTTCATGTGGTATCGGACACATTCATTTAGCATAATACACTTTCTCTAGCCTCCATTTTTGAATTCTTCAATTTCAATACCATTAGCTGTCAACAGTGAAAACAAACACATCAAAGTCCTGTGAAGCACAAGTTATTTGGGAATGAAAAGGAATAAAATCCTCTTACAGGAGGAAGAGTTCAGTGTTGCCAAGTCTGCTTATAAGAAGCAAAATTGGGCTTGGTTTTTTTTAAGTTGCTTTAATATTTTGAGAGTCATGTGTTGATAAGCACCCCCATTCCCCTCTCTTTGAAATGGGTTGGGCTTGTTTTTAAAGGCAGTGTCACACTTTTTTCTTCTTCTCATGAGACCTGGCAACACTGAAAGAGTTGTAGGCATTACTATCTGGAAGATGTTGCAAGAGCCCCTATGGCCATGTCTAGACAAGCACGGACTTTTGGTTCCCTGGGGACAAGTAGCAGCAGCACCCTGTGCCACTGCTACTTGTCCCTGGGGAACACCTGTACCAGGTGCGCTCTTACCCCAGTTATCCCGGCAGCCTTACCTGGGCTCCTGAGGGCTGGGAAGCTGCAGCCATGACGCTCCTGCAGCTGGGAGTCTGGTCAGCAGCTGGAGTATGGCTTCGGCCAACCAGGCTCCAGTCTTGGGCGGCACACACTGCCACCGCATACGCTGCCCTGCTTTTTTTTTCCATACCTTTTTTTTTTTTTGACCCTGGGATCTCCCAGGGTTAACCCCCTGCACCCCCCGGTACTGCAAGGTAGCAATGTGGGGAATGCATGAATGTACAGTGTGTGGTGCTGTATACCCATCTGGTGCGCCACATACTGCACAGCTGTGCTCATCTGGATGCAGCCTATGGTTCCTTAAACTAACTCCAGCTCAAATCATGATACCATAAACTTGCTAGATCTATAGCAACTGGCTGAAATAACTCAAATCAAAATCCCTAACTACAGGTCAGTATTACATTCATACTGGACACTACCTCTGGTCATATCCTTACTGTGGTTCAAAACTAGGTTTATGACTTTGAACAACAAGGAAGTATGAGAAGTTGTAGAATACATGGTGTTTCCCTGTGGAAAGTCACGGTACTGCAGATGCTGAACACTTTCAGTTTTGTATAAACCTGATTTAGGTGTCACAGTGTGTCATTTTCAATACATCAGAGAAAGCAGTATGCTGAGCAGCTGAGGGCAGTGGATGATACCTCCTCAATGGAGTGCTCCATTAAGATGTTTTCAAAAAATATATATTCTCTGTCCTAAGGACTGCACACTTCACTATCAAACCAAGTAGTGCACATAGTTTGGAAATCCTAGAAGATCAGTGCCAAAATACAGTCCCAATTCTAAGTCTCCACTTATAAATCATCCACCAGCATGTCCACTGCAACAGTGCTGGAAAAGGCGGGATGAAATGGGGCACGTCTTATCACTTTGGTTACCTGAAGCATAATCTTGCTCATAAGATCCTGGTCAGTCATACTGGCCAATTCCAGGTGTATAGGAATATCAGTGGGGATATCTGAGAGGGAAGTCACAGCCTGCAGAAAGAAAAGGAAGACATTTATTAAGAACAAAAGGTGTTTAGCTCAGAAACATAAGTACTATTTAGTGTATTTGTCTGGATGCAATTACATCTTTAAGTGACCTGCCTAGCAAAGGGCCAAAGAAGAAAACATGTTGCTCTGAGGAAGAGAAAGCCTCTTGCTTTCAGAATCTCTAAGCAGGCAAAAGGTATCAGACTGTCATCCATGCCCTATTCAGCATTTTTAACTGATTATTACAGAAGACTGCCCAACCCTGTAGTAGCCACAGATTGTTTGTCCCTGAAGTGCAAGGAGAACTCAATGAATCAGGATGTTATTATAAGAAAAAAAAATAATAGCAACTTCCTCAAGCCCCAACTGGATAACCTGACATACCTGCTGCCTACAAAACTTGAGTCTTGGTTGTAGGCTGGATTATAGTCATATATGGAATAGAAACAATGCATTCAGCCATTGGATGTAGCTCTAGTACTTAGATAAATCTACTCCACCCTGGCCACCAGAAAGTGGTGTCTCTCTCTTAGACAGAGCCCACTAGATCCAAGAAACAACAACAAGGGCTTTCAATGATCTCCACTGAGCCTTTGGGATAATCATGAGGTTTGAGGAGTCTAAGAGGATATGCCTTTGACCTGCAATAGTGGGATGAGGGACTGTCTAAAGACATCCTGTATTTAGAAGCTGAAATCTTAGAAAGAGGGGTTGTACTACAGCATTCACTGGGACTGAAATTAAAGAGACAATACAGTGCTCTGCCTCTTGGGTTTCTTACCTCCAATAGTCTCTTTGCACGCATTTCCTTGCTCTGTCCTTCCATCATATGAAGGCCTGAGAGTACCACAAGGTCTGGCTGAAATTCATCCAGGCTTGCCACAAACACCTCCAGCATATTCATGGCACCATTTGACAGATCATGAGAGAAAATAAAACGGTTGGCATTGGGAGCTGTCACCTGTCCCCATTCTTCACCTAGGAAGAAATCCCCAGTCAACAAAGAAAACAATCACGCCAGATAACTGGAGGGCTGTTTTTTGATCTCCTGTTAAAATACAAGCATCAGTCAGGGCTGTCATCACTCCTCCTAACAAGGCAACTCCCTGCAGAGGGCTTGAGTTTGATCAGTACCCGACACTTTAGCTGTGCTTCATACTCAGGTCTGAACACATGCAAAATGGTTCCACCCAGCCCACCGAGGTGGGGAAAACAACTGAATTAGCAAAGACTTGCCAAATGGGGACACCGATTACCTAAACCATGCCAACTGGGCAGCTCTGCACCAATATCCAAGTGTTCGTTGATACAGCCTTAGTACCACAGCAAAACAAAGACAGCTTCCCCACACCTACAATGTTAAATGGGTTGGATTAAGGGAACGAAGGCAACAGAGGCAGCCAAGTGTAGAGACAGCAAGTAACAGAACATTTTTTTAAATTGCATTGTTAGCTGTCATTTGAAAGGAGGAAATTTTGCATGATGGAAGACTGCCCAAGAGTATTTTTTGACCTAATCCCAGAGCAAGCTTCCAAATCAGCTAGCGTGGGAGCCTGTTCACTCAGACCTCAGAGCCCTCCTTAGATATCCGACAGTAAATATGGCCATTGCCCGATATAGAAACTCTTAGGCTGCTTTATGTTACAGTTTATCCAGCAACAATTCATAAACTTTCCTGAAGGGCAGTAATGAACTGCACAATGAAGCATGCACTAAATTCTATCTAGGACTGGATTTTATGGTCTACAGAGCAGTGTATTCCAACAAATCAAAGCCCAGAAGACAAGGATGTGCTCCTTTTCCAAATGGCATAGCTACTCCAGGAATGCTTGCAGGAGCAGGGAAAGAACAAGATCTACCTGAAGCTACCCGTGTGTTTTCCATTGACTGTCATCAGTCATCATTAACTGACCTCCATCAAGAGTTCTTTAGATGGAAAACTGAGTTCATACAAAACAGAATGCAGTAAAAAAGGAAATATCAGAAAGTTGAATCAGCCAGGCTTGCATAAGTGCTGGGGCATTGATAGAACTGGCAAATATGACAATGGATAAACTTTTTAACCATACATGGAGCTTTTTAACTATGATCTTCCTGCTGAGCTGGAAAGTACAGCTGCCACTTCCCTCTCTTGTTCGTTGCTCACGGTGCAAAAAGCTGACTATTCTGTCATTTGTTAGCTGTGCGCAGACAGAGAGTTCAGGCTAATTGGTGCCCTCCTTTTGTACTTAGGGTCCTTTTTAATATTGGCATATTTGGTAAGCTAAGATTTTTTTTTGCTTAGGCTATATAATTGATCCATGCCTACAGCTGTTATAGAGTCATGATGACTCTAGATTATTAGCTTTTGGCTTACACAGCTGACAGAACTCTGATAGGATGACAACATTTATACAGACCACAGTTCAAAGGAAAATAAGACCTTCAAAACAGTTTAGGATGCTTATTCACCTAGCAGGCTACCTCAGCTCTGGAAAACTAATGAAGCTATCAGATTGCCTCCCAGTGCCAACTGCTAATGCTGATAACTTGCACAGTTCTGAAACTAACTGGCTCGCAGGAAGTTTAGAAAACATATTACAAAACCAGAAATACATTAGAATATTACACAAGGCATCTCTTACCTTGCTATTTAAAATACCATAGCAGGCAGGTTTATTTTATATCCCTATTGGATTTGCAAAAAAAGCAGGACAACCATCTCACAAATACATTGGTCTTGTTTAGCAGGTATTTTAACTATAATTTCTATAAGTACTCCTGTCCTTGCAGTGTGAGGACACTAAGAGTACCTTGTTCTCCTGCTTTACTTGCAGTGTTTTTGATGTTTTGGGCACAGTGACTGGTAGCTGAGTGAGAGGGTTGTTTGTGAAGTTTTAAGAACAGGTCAGACTAGGATGGTTTAGATAGAGATGATAAGCAGGAGACTGAACCAGATGACCCTCCAAGGTCCCTTCCAGCCTACTTTTCTATGATCTATCAACCAAGACCTGTTACTGGGTAGCCTAAGTCCCCTCTTCCACAGCTGAAGAAAATCTAAAGAGGAGCTTGAAGACTCTGGACTAGTGATCTTCCATCAAAAGGCCAGCTTCTAGGTATGAAAATTGGATGTCTAGCCTGCAGGTGGTCACCTATCATTACAGACTAGCTCCTGGGACAGAAGTAGAGAGAAAAAAAAAAGCCACATTTGAGAACAGACACAGTTAATAATTAGCCATAGACAGGAATTCTTGGTTTAGTCTCCTTCACCCAGGAGGATACCAGAACACTTTGAAGACCATACAGGATTATCCATCACTAACATGCAATCTCTGGTATAAAACATGGCAGCTAGCCTGCATCAGCTAGAACAGTACTTTTTAAAAGAAGATAGTGAAGATTAAGAAGGCAAGATGCAGTTTCTCCATATGCTAGTCTAATCCAGGCTTTCATACTCTTCCTAGAAAGAGCACAGAATGGATATGCAGGTGACCACAAAACAGACCTCTAGCTTTGGTCAGAATGGCTCTGTTTAGAAGCTCAGTATCTAAAGTTACTCTTAGGCACGTGATTCCTAAAAAAAGATGCCAGGTACTGAAATCACTGGTGCTACCTATCACCAAGCCAGGTTTTCCATAATTGTCTCCCAAACCATGGCTAAAAAAAATCAGTCCTCTAACTCAGGCCAAATCCAGCCCACGGAGCCGCATTACCTGACCCCAGTGCTGCCTCTACATTTGAACCGACCTGAACCAGCCCCGAGGGCAGGGCCTGGGATGCAGACTGTACATGGCACACACTCCTGCCACTCCAGGAACCGTGCTGCACATGGTACCCATCCCAGGCACCCCCAGACATGTACTACACAAGGACTGCTTACAGATGTAAAAAAATGGCGCTTTAGTTTATGCTCGGTGCACCCCCACACCGAGCCAGGCACATGCTAAAAAAAAGGCACTGTGCTAGTTGGACCCGGCTCACGCAACATCTGTATAGATCAGGCACTTTAGTGGGACTTTTTTGGTGTTTTTATCTAATAGTTGATTGAATCAGCTATTACATAAAAGTGCCAAAAAGGCCTGCTAAAGTGTGCGATCTTTACAGATGTTGGGTGAGCCGGGTCCAGCTAAGGTGCTGCTTCTTCCCGTAAAGTCCATTTTTAGTTTTTTATTCCCCACATCTGTCAGTAGTCATGGTGCCTGGTCCAGCCAGTTTGAGACACACGGTGCATATGGCATCCACAGACACCACATACAGTGGTGGGTCCTGGACCAGCTGAAGCAGGCAGTGCACACAGGACAGTTCCAGAACAACCACCATGGGTGCTGCATTGAACAGATTTGGGAGCAGCTGAAACAGGCACTGTAGGTGACAGTCCAGCCAGGGTGGGCACCATGTGTAACACGGTGCCTGGTCTGGGATCCATGCTACATGTGGTGACTGCCTCAGCTGGAATGTACAACTTGCAGTGCCCCTTCGGGCCACTCTGGGATTCACATGCTGCATGCAGTATGGATCCTGGTGCAGCAGAAGTGGGCACTGGATCTGGCATGAGGGGGCTAGGAGTGGGAGAGTGGCAGGGGTACATGGACCCATTGTCACTTATCCAGCCCACAGGACCAGATAAACTCGACACCCCTGTTCTAACTGATGGTGGGTCACAGCGCAATGGCAGAGGTACTATAATGTTGTAGTTTCCCCTTATATAAGCTACTTAATAGGCAGAACACCTTGGTAATCACTTCCCATACACTTGCTATAACAAGGTGTAGGATGATGGCAAATGCCAGGAAAGGTAATGAACAGAGGATAAATTACTCTAGTCTAGGTACATACACAGTTTGATGCTCTCCCTCTAATCTAAAGCATCCGCTCCTGCCACTATTGGAGACAGGATACTGAGCTAGATGGACCGCTGATCTGACCCAGCATGGCACTTCTCATCTTCTTATATGTTCTTATGCTCAATAAAAACTTGACTGTAAAAGAAAATTAGGCCAATATAAACAGATAAGGACAGTCCTGTGTTGCTGCAATGGATGTGGTTGGTAAGTTCCAGCACCATTTTTTCTTATCTCAATATATTGTAGGACATCTCACATGTGACTCTCCTTTCCTTTTCTGCCCTATTTTTTCTAGCCTATTTTGCAGTGTGGTTTTGTCCTCTCAGGTTTGCACTACCCTTCCCAGTTCTGGCATCTGCATCTCTGACTGGTGCTGAACTTACACCATAACAGTACACTCAAAGTTTAATGAACTACTACATGAACAAATTACCTGTTTTCTGAGTTAATGCATCTAGAAATCCTAAAAATTTCATTGACAGGCATACAACTAACAGTAAACCTTTCCCTGTTCAAAGACCAAATTATGTTTCACCACTGTAACAAAGAATGGCTCCACAGTCCAGCCACAGTTTGAAAACCATTACAGAACAGTATACTCAGAAATATAACTGGACCCAATAAATATTTAGCCTTACAATGTTCTATAACGGGCAAAGTACCTGCTTGATACTCCAAAATAAGGTGGAATTCATCGATTTCCTGCATAGATTCTGGTGGGACAATTACATTATCATCAAGTAGTTCATGGAGTTTAGGACCAACTGGGCCACAAAGAAGGACCTGGAAGCCAAAAGAACATACATTAACAAGGATAGACTGGCATGAACCATAGGGACCTAGGATCCATAAGCATTTTTGCATTTCCTTCTGGGTTCCTTTCAAAAATATAAGAAGATCAAGTCTCAGCCTGCAGACTGGACCAATATCTGCTCATCTCCTTGGCTAGTACAAACACATACGTGTGTCATATGCAGACAAGGCAACAGGCTTTCTTCAGGATGTTTTTGTTTTAAACTTGTTTACATCTCAATAATGAATGCGGTGCCCATGGAGGTGAGGGGTGAATGACCAAGTGCTGTCAAGCTTCTAAAAACTTTTCCAACAATCCCTTTAATCCTAACATGCAACATCCTTACTATTTCAATACTGGTTGAGAAAAGAATGCATGGAAAGACTTCTATTTCTGAAGGAGTGCAATAACTGTATCGTGGAAAAATGCCTATCAGATACTTTTCAAACTTGAAGTGTTACCTTAAATGATGAATTGGTAGGGTATTAACCCAGTGGCTTCATTTGCTTGTCAAAAAATGTACCTAAGCTTCTGTATGAAATGTAATACGTGTGTGTGTGTGTGAGAGAACACAAACAAATCAGATTGATTCTGTAAATAATGGCTGTGAAACATTTGTGGGGTAAGAAAGTCCTGACTTCAGGCATCACGGGGTTAAACAGAATTGTACCAGTAGCTCCCTAATGATCCAACAAGGAATTGAATAATCAAATGCATGGGTGAATGGGTTTCAAACAATCTGGTGCTCACTCACTGCACCACAAAGAAGTCTTGAGTTTCACTGAACTCGCCAAAAGAATAGCAGAAATTAATGGAGGATCAAAACCGCTTAATCATGCGTATTTGGTCTATTAAAGATAATGTCAACATAAAAATTACGGATGACCGGAAGACAGTCATTCATGAGGCACACTAAAGAGAATGCTGTTACTAAGCTACAGGTACAGATACTAAGTTTAAGAGATACAGAGAAACTTGTAAGCCAGCTATTTGTTTCCTTTGTGTAACGTCAATTAACAGCAACTTTGCTAGCAAAGTGTCTGCCTCCACAAAAAAATGAAATCTTAGAGGAATTTTTCAATTATACAACATACAAGTGATTCTAGTCCTACTGACAACAACAAATGAAGGAAACCAAGTTTCTGAAAGCCTTACCTTCAGGTGTGGATTTGTTGCAAGCTTCTGGCCGATCAGAGCAGCGTTTCCTCCCACATAGAACTGCAAGGTGGATCAAACATGCGTGTGCAATCTGTTATTCCAATAGTTTTGTTTTGTTTTGTTTTGTTTTTTTTATAGATGCTTAGTCTCTAGCACGGTCTGATGACTTTAAATAGGTTTTGTAGATCTGCAATAGCTTGTGAGATGCTAACAAAACTGATAAAGTGCTTTAGAGGGATTGAAGCCAAAATAATTCCATAAATTCAGTAATTTTTGTCCCAGCTTATTAGTTAGCTAGTATTTGCCTTCTGGCAGACCAGTGCACCATCCAAATCAATTTATTCATCCAATAAGTATTCCTGAATTCTGTCCATTTAATCTCTTTTTTTGGCAAGTTATAGTTTTTTTAATTAGTGAGCTAGGTATACACTTCCAAATCTTGCTCTATGGAGCCATTGAAGTGTATGGAAATGGTTTCCAGATCATTATTCTTAAATCTGTAATTTCACCACTTGCACCACATAGAAAAGTTAGAGCTGTTTATACTGTGTCATCCCTGTCCTGCTGCCATCAAATATAAGGTTTTACCTATGTTTGGGACATCTTCAGACCTGCTCTCATTGATTCTCTTCAAATTAATAGCGCTAAAGCATAAGCAACTCATATTCTGGAAGGTTACAGAAGGGGGAGATTAAAAGCAACTGAAATCTGGGATATCAGTTGATAGGCAGGTTTGTTTAAGGTTCATTAATACACTAAAAGAGCAAAACAAAATTTGTTTTCTGAATCTCTTCCCCATGCATTTCAAGGATAAAAAGAGCCGTGAATAACTGTACAAGGCTTTCAAGTATGGCCTTAAGATGAAAAACATACCTGTGCTCCAGGGTACTCAGAGGCTGCCTGTGCAATGTGATGGAAAGACTCTGCATCACTGAAAAAGCGTTCAGCAGCTGCCCCTTTTTGCATAAAATGAGAAAATGCTTCTTTCAGGTCTTTTTTGGAATTCAGAACAGCATGATCTTCCCCATTCCCAGGATCAAGACCAAGCGCCTGCAACAGCTTCACACCAGAGAGGACCACATCTACGCAGGCATTGACTCTGCAGAGAAGGGGACACAAAGAAAAAAGAGGTGTTGGAAACACTGAATGTGACACCAGGGGCATCCCATGAGCCATGGGACAGGGCAGTTTTTCACACAGCATTTAGGATTGGTTGACACTGGAACTGCACAGAATTTCCTCAAGAAAACCATCTTGTGCTGAGTTACTACTACAGTGTCCTGCTTTTGACATTTTTTGAGCTACAAGAACATGTAAAATGGATGTTATTTCCAACACTGTGTTTAAATTAAAACAGGGCCCAGAACAAGTTGCTTACTTCCACACAAAACCAACTTTCTGTTCCCCCTGTCAATTCAATGTTGTGCATCTACTGTACCCACATCAAACAGAATGGACACAGTAAGAGTAAAAACTAAGATCAGACAGAAAGCAGTAAAAGGAAAACAGTGACACCAAGAAATGAGGACTGTATCTGGGCTCTCTGATAACAACTCTCCTATTTTCATCATCCTGCAACATAGTCAATGGATGCTTCTTTCCTCTCAGCAGGAAAAAAAAAGCCACTGGTCTTCTATGCCCACCTAAGGACATGGACAGACGTGTACTTGAAGAGGCTTCAAAAAGGGATGGGAAGCAGCTGCTCAAAGCAAGATTCTGTAGCATTACAAGTGTATAGCAAAACAATTTCAGCTTTAACCCTACCCCTCCAGGGTCAGAGTTTGGGCAGCTTAGCTCACCTGGATCACTACAGTATCATGTACATGCAAGTTTTACAGCAGAGGTAACCAACCTGTGGAATGGGCAGCCTCTGCACGTGGCACACAGCAGAGGGAGAGGACAGGCAACACACCAGCGGAAAGGGCAGGAAACAGAAAGCAAAGCAGCAGTTCAGGCAGGGGAGGGTGGACTCAGGGCCTGGATCCAGATGTGCAGGCATGCGCGGTGCCACAAACTGCACATTAAACCATGCATGGTGCTGCTAATTTGCAGCACCAGGGCAAAATTTGCTACCAGGATTTCCCAGTGGCAAGAAGAAAAAAGTGCCTGCCCTGAGGCATGTGGAGGCAGGAGAGCAGCCAGCCCAGAGCTGCCTGTTCCCCCATCTTGAGGCACCCTGCACCCCAGCCAAGGAGGCTAATTTATGGCATACCTGCTAAAAGAGTTGGCCCCCCGGTGTTACAACAAAAAGGGCTGCTGCCCTGTCCTAAGTAGCAGCTCCCCTACCACTTCTGAAGCCGCTCTAAGTATACATTTGTCCAAACCCTGAGTTAATATTTTACATTTGTTCAGAGACCTAAACTCTATGGCTATTACAGACAGTTCTTTGCCATGACATATAGGAGTGCAAAATATTGGCATATGAGCATGGAGCTCTTAAGTTGATTACAGTCCTCAAAACACTGCTTCCAAGAGAAACCCCAGTAATTACCTATCATGCCATGGTGCTCAAATTTTTGGCCCTACAGGCCAGATAAGTGATCTGGAGCCAGTCCCGCACACCAGGCTTGGGCCCCAGGCACCCTCTAAGGCCTCCACACCGAGATTGGGCCCCCACATGCCAGAATTGGGCCCTGGGGCCGAGTGCTGCCCTACCTGACCCTGCGTCCTGGGATAAGGCACACAATCCATCATGTAGAGCCCAGGGCTCCCCATGGGTCTGGAAATTTGTTTCCCTGCCACCAAATTTCTGGACTCATGGGGAGCTCCACAGGCTGGAAGACATAGCATTGCAGGCCTTATCTGAGCACCCCTGAAGTGGGGCACCTGTCTGAATACACGTCAGTGTTACCTCTCCTCGCACCCTTGTTCCAGGGCTCCTTATTATCCACACAGCTTGTGCGGTCCATCCAGCTGACACCATGTGCTTCCATGGCCCTATCATCATTGTGCTCAACTACTTCCTAAATGACCTCTGTCAAGGAAAATAAGCTTAGAGCAGTACTGAATGGGTGTGCCTGCTATCTCAGCAACCTTTCTTGTGCAGTTTGCACTGTTGTAAGTGAAGACAGCATGACACAAACTAAAGGGCATAAAAGGCCTGGCGGGTTCTCAGTTTATACAGTATTGCAACTCGTTCTGTCAGAAATGTTTCTGTACCCTGAGCTGACATGCTACAAAAGCCATCATTCCCCAAGCCATCGTTCCCCATGCACTGCAGTGAGATCAAGCAGCATTTTAACCTCAAACTGAGAGCAGCAAAAGGTCAGCAGTCCCATGTTTTAATATCCTAGTAACAATGCAGTAATAATGTGAAGCAGTTACAGTTGTTTCAAGTGAGAAAGCTTCACCTAGACCTCTAATCATCTAACTACTGGTATCTTCTATCTGCCTCCCATACCACTGCTCTACCTACATGCTTGCTTCATGTTTTTAATGAATTCCCTTAACTACTACTGATCTGCTCCCGCTAGTGAACCTTGAGGCCGCAGGTGTTTAGTGTATGCAGGGTTCAGTCTCTTTAAGGGCATTAAACAGATACAACCTGAAGTGCAGACAGAACAGAAAGTGAAAGGGCTTTTTCAGTCTAGGTAGGGCAAAAGGCAAAAAGTCAGTCAGACACCATAAGCCACCTCACACTTTCGGTTCTCTCATTTTCAGGGAAAATTTCCATCAAGTTTCACCCCCAGGCACTTCAGTCCCCAGCAGCTAAAATGCCAGCTGCGCAATAAGTCATGGAAGATTTTAGAAGTTTCCCCACATCCAAGGACTAAGGCTACCAGCCTAAAGCTTAAAATTTCACTGCCTTCACTTCCCTCCTCCCCACCACCTTTTACTTGCTGTCCACTTACTCTAGGTCATGTCCTCTACATGCAGTCTTTACATTTATTTTTTTCCACATATCCCCCAAAAAGTAGCAGTCTCTGTCTCATCCTCCTACACCCCTTATTCCCATCTCCTAATGCCATGTTTCTAGGGCAGTGATTCTCAACAGGGTTGCAAGGAAATAAGCATTTGCTCTTCTCTGTCTGGCCCTTGTGCAAGGCGGTAAACACAGGCTAGTCTCTGGGTAAGCTCTATCTGAGATATTTTTTTACATTATAGCATCCATCTGTGGGAGTCCACACACTGGAAAAGCTACAGGCTTAACAAACTGAAGCATTGACAAGTCTATAGGATACACAGAAGAAGCTAAAATAAACCTGTCATTATGGCTAGTTTATGACACGCAGTATTCAGCAGCATCTAGATGAAAAACACATTTCACCATGATGAATTTTCAACAAGAACATCTCTTTTTCCAGTCTCTGGATGTGCAACTGATGACATGTATATCTGAAAAGGAAGTATTTAAATTATGCGGTGTGTAATGTCTGGGAAAAGAACTAAAGAGTCCCACTCTGAGCTTGGGCTAGAAGAAATGTTCTTTTAGCTGAGGTACTGCTAGCATCATAATTAATACAATGCAATGCTGCGGCTAGTAAAGCCACCAAAATGGTGGCTTGCATCCATAGATGCTTCTCAAGCAAATCCCGGGACGTCATTCTCCCCTTGTACTCGGCCTTGGTGAGGCTGCAGCTGGAGTACTGCTTCCAGTTTTGGGTCCCACAATTCAAAAAGGATGTGGAAAAGCTTTAGAGAGTCCAGAGGAGAGTCACGCGCATGATCAGAGGTCAGGAAAACAGACCTTATGACGACAGGCTGAGAGCCATGGGGCTCTTTAACCTGGAAAAGCACAGGCTCAGGGGTGACCTGATGGCCACCTATAAGTTTATCGGGGTGACCACCAGTACCTGGGGGAACATTTGTTCACCAGAGCGCCCCAAGGGATGACAAGGTCGAACAGTCATAAACTACTACGAGACCATTTCAGACTGGACATAAGGAAGAATTTCTTTCCTGTCTGAGCCCCCAAGGTCTGGAACAGCCTGCCATCGGAGGTGGTTCAAGCACCTACACTGAACACCTTCAAGAGCAAATTGGATGTTTATCTTGCTGGGATCCTATGACCCCAGCTGACTTCCTGCCCTTTGGGCGGGGGGCTGGACTTGATCTTTCGAGGTTCCTTCCAGCACTAATGTCTATGAAATCTATGAAATACCTGCCAACAGTATGTTCGTGTATGTCATGACATATATTGAGGTTTCTATTCCTATTATTCAAAGCAGCATAATGTTCCAGCAGGAGGGAAATGGAGCTCTTCCTAGCAGGAACTCAGCAATCTCCACCTCCAGTTTCCGCAAGATATATGAAGCAGCAGTAGCAATTAAACAAGACAGCAGGAGTCCACAGTGTTACTGTCCATGACTGTACATTACAACTTCAGAATCAGTATTTACAGGATTCTCACTTATCTGATGTAAACTAAGGATGACCTTGCAGCCACTTCTAACATGGAGGGGGGCTGTGTCCCTTTCTGATCTTCAGTGCCCAATTTTCAAGAGCTTTCTCTTCTGAAAACTGTTTTGACTTTAACCCTCCCAAGGTCAGTTCTCTCTGCTACCTCTACTGGAAGTAAGACCAGCTTATTCCAAGCAGCTGCCTCTGACAGAGCAGATGGAATACTTCCAGTCCCTTGATATCTTTCCCAATCATTATGCATGCTCAGATCCATACGCAAGCACTGGAACGATGTAGGTCTAATGGGTCCATACCTTTGCAGAGAGCTTCACCTTCTTGACTCCAGACCACATGAAGGTCCTTTACTGCTGAAGCTGTGAGGTTCGTCTTTCTTGGTAAGTCTGGCTTAATCTGATCAATTAGAGTAGGTCAATAGCCCACTGCTTCCATGATCATTTATCAGGTTGAAATGCATCAGTGCTCTAGATATTGGTCTTTGTATAAGAAAGCAGTAGCCAGAAAGTAGCTGTCTCTCACCAGAAGCTCTCCAGTGCATCTTTAAGATTGCTACAAGTTATGAGGAAATCACATACACAACATAAATCGGCAATGCGATATTGTCACAAAAAGCAAATGCAATTTTGGGCTGCGTTAATGAAAGCATTGTACACAAGACAACAGAAGTTATAGTACCATTCTGCCATACCCTAGCTAGGCTTCAGCTGGAGTAATGGAGTGCAGTCTTGGGCACCACATTTTAAAGAGGATATAGAGAAACTGCAGAGTCCAGATGTAAACAGCAAAGATAATAAAGGGGTTGGAAACCAAGCTATATGAAGGAACTAGGCATATTTAGTTTAGAGAGAAGAGATTAAAGGGGTATATGATAGCAGCTGTCAGGCTGCCCTAAAGAAGATGGAGAAACATCATGCTCCCTCACCGTGGAGGGGAGGACCCATGGCGATGCGTTTAGGATGTGGCAAAAAGCGGATTTAGCTCAAATCTTAGGAAAAGCTTCCTGACAAAAAGAGCATTAGGATAAAGGGTCAAACTGCTTAGAGAAGCTGTGAAACTCTCCTTCAGTAGAGATTCAAGAGGCTGAATAAGCACCTATGCAGGAATAGCAACTCCTACATCTACACAGGGAGTTGGAGTAGGTAACTCTCAAAGTTCCTCCTAACCTTACAATTCTGTTCATTTCCATCCCGCCTAAGAAGGACAACATAGTCCATGTCAGGGAAAAGGTCTGGCCAGGAGTTCTGCTGAGATGTGCAGAGATCTGTTCAAGTCTCCAGTCTGCTGAAGAGCAGATCAGGGCTAGAGGCCCAGGAAGCCTCACTCCAGTGCTACTGTAAAAACTCAGATTTATGGTTTCCTGGTCAAGCTCATGCCCCTAAACTGTTATCTAGACCTTGAAGTAGTCTTGGGGGAGGACGTCAGGAACACTTAGGCACCACAGAGCGCTGTTTGAATTCTGGGTACTCACAACCCAGGTGTATTAATGTATCCTTGCTACAGGCAGATACACAGATGCAGAGATAAATGGACTTCCAGGTCACATAGCAAGTGCTGGAGATCAGAAAAACCTATAAGGGTGCCCCCTCCTAGTCTCCTGCTGCTCTAACCACTAGAACTTTCTTCCTCATGAATGCTGACTGGTGAGCGAGGAGTCTGACTGAACCCAAATCAGAAGGATATTTATGCACCTGCTTTCCTTAAATGACTGATTTTTTTCCTGGAGAAAAATGTTGTAATGTCTGTGGCTGGATCTTAGGCCAATGGAAGATGGGTCCCTGAAGTTGTACAGAGCTTGCTTTATTTAAAATGCAAATGTTGCAACAGTCCCAGCTCAGCGTCTGATGTTCCTGTATTCAAATCAAGAGGCCAAGCAGTGGGGGAACCTGCAAGCCCCGTGTGCAAGGAATCAACTCAACATTGCAGAGCTGATGCAATGAGGCAGCACCAGTGGCACTTGGACTAGGGCATGGCCCATACCTCACACCAGCGCAGGTGGAGGCTCATCGGAACAGGCCCTTCCAAGGCATCTGATCCCCGACTACAGGCCTGAGGTAAGATATCTCCCAACCGGAGCAGCAGCTCAGTGTGGACGCTACTTCAAGAGGGGCCTCAGAGCAGAAGGGAGTTGGGGCCTCCTCGCCTGTTCAAGTCAGCCCATGGAAGTGGCTCTTCCTACCTGCACCTCTCCCAGCCAGCAGCTCACAGCCGGCGTCGCTGGCTCTGCTCTCCCCTTCCAGCCTGATCCTGCAGCCTGGGGTCTGCCAAGGGGGCAAGGAGGATGCAACACGCTGCCCTGCGCAAGCCCATCCATCCATCCACCCATTTGTCTGTCTGCTGGTCTAGTCCTCCGTCCTTCCTTCCATCCCTCCCTCCATCTGCCCCTCCATGCATCCCTCCTCCATCCTTCCATCCTTCCTCCCATCCATCCCTCCATCCGCCTTTTGTTCCTTCTATCCAGCCTTCCCTCCTCCATCCGTCCTTGCTTCCTTCCGTCCATCCACCAATCTCTCCGCCTGTTTGTTGGTCCATCCCTCCGTCCGTCAGTCATCCCTCTGTCCGTCCTTCCTTCCATCCATCCGGCCATCTCTCTTTCCATGAACCCCTTCTACACCCACCCACCACTCCACTGGTCTTTCATTCCTTCTGTCCCTCCCTCCATCCATCATCCCTCCCTCTGTCCTTCCATGCATGCATCCATCCCTCCATTCATCTTTCGCTCCTTCCTTCCATTCATTCATCCGTCCCTCCCTCCACCCAGGCCCCGCGCCGCGCCGCTTACCCGACGGCCACCCTGCCCCAGCGCCGCGCGGGCCGCAGGATGAGCGCGTCCCAGGCGGCCGC